GAGAGAGAGAGAGAGAGAGAGAGAGAGAGAGAGAGAGAGAGAGAGAGAGAGGGAGAGAGAAAGAGAGAGAGAGGGAAATAGATACATAGAGAGAAATAAGATAGATAGAAAGATAAACAGATTGGTAAAAAAAATAGGTGTAAACTTTTTTTCTTTTTTTTTTTACAATGCAATCTAAATTAGACAAGATTATGTAAGGGTGATAATCCTTAAACTAAGTGTGCCAGAGCCTATCTAATGAATATTAAATAACCCCAGATCAAAAAGTTGATCAAACCCTTCTTACATCCATGGCGCTGGAGGTATAAAAACTTATATAGAGCTTGATCCATACCACTTCCTCACCACCATCGTCTGACACATTGCAGGTCCTTATCTCCTCCATGGGCCCGTGCTTTAGCCTGGTGTACTCGCGTCTGCTGCTGTCCTTCGGCTCGTCTTCGACCACTGTGGCCTGGATCTTCAACACCTTCAGCCTCGTGTGGAACGTGATGGGTCCGGTGGTGGGGCCCCTGACGTCAGAGTGCGGCCATAGGAAGGTCGCCGTCACGGGAGCTTTCCTCTGCTCCTTAGCCCTTATCTCCTCTGCTTTCTCCTCCTCAGCGTGGATGCTCTTGCTCACCTTTTCTCTTATTGGAGGTAGGATTTGATATTTTGTGCATGTACTTATGCATTTATGTATATTAACTTTCAATTAATATACATACCTTTTGGGTATTTTCCAAGCTGAAAGACATTTTGCAATTTTGTGAGTCTAAAGAATGGCCCATCTATATTTTCAAATGTGTTTATATGAAGAGCAATCCTCCCGGCAGGTGTGGGCGCGGGCCTAGTGGTGGGAGCCAGCGTCCTTATCCTTCCCCTCTATTTCTCTCGTCGTCGTGGATTCGCCAATGGTTTGTTCATGGCTGGGACCAGCGTCGGGTTGTTCATAGCGCCCCATCTCATCACGTACTTGCAGGACCTCTACGCATTCAAAGGCGCCACGCTAATCTTGGGAGCCATCGTCCTCAATGGATGTGCAGCTGGCTCCACTTACCGTCCTGCCTCTTGGCATATGCAGCATCAGAGAAAGAGTTCCAGCAATATCACTGAGGATGCGCAGCGAAAGCCACTAACCAAGACGATAAACAAAAATAATCCCTTAGGACCTTCAGAATTACTGAACGGAAAACACCAAATCGATAAGGTCGCCCCTTGCAGAAGGTGCTTCGTGACACGGGTTGTTCTCTCCACGCTTCGAGATTTGGGTATACTCAAGTCAAGTCGTGCCCTGATAATTGCCCTCACCAGCACACTAGTTATGAATGGTTACCTGAATTTTATCATGATGGTGCCTTTCATGGTGACCCAGGCTAGACACACACCTCATGATGCTGCTTGGTGTGTGTCCGTGTCGGGCATAAGCAACCTCTTGACACGAGTAATTGTATCGGCATTGGCAGACTGCTCGTGGTTCCACCTGAGAGCATGCTACATGGCTGGAATCCTACTCATCGCTCTCTCAAGCTTAGGTAAGCCATTTAACTCGTTTCTCGTACATATGTCTCTTCGCATGATAATGTAACGAGTGAAAAGTATCAACCGGTCTTCACGTGTCTCCTCACTTTTCAGCATTCAGCTTCATACCCAGCCTGGCTTGGATGACAGTGACGATGGCCGTCTGGGGCTGTGGAGTGGGCGCTTTTATGGGCCTTTATAACCTGATCATGATTCGCTACATGGGCATGAAGAAATTGCCGTCTATGTACGGAGCTTCTAGCCTTCTCAACGGCTTAGGTTTCATCACCATAGGCCCGCTAATAGGTAAGAATACAAACTGATCTCAGAATTTTGTTTTTGCATTTTTCTGTTGTATCGTATCGCCAATTAGCTGTTTGTATATAACTAATCTGCAGTTGTAAGGTTTATTTTGAAGGCATGGAATATAGCATCGTTAACGAACAAGTTTCTATACCTTGTTACATTTTGATTAACATACCTCAAAAAAACTGTTGGTGATACATTTTTGCCAATATGCAGTAATCGCAATAATCACTCATTGCCACTGTCAACCATTTTGTGACTGTTAGGCTACATCCGGGACCTGAGTGGCAGCTACCAGGTCTCCCTCTGGGTCCTGGTGGTGACGGAGGCATTGTGTGTGTTCCTGTGGTTCCTCATGCCTGCAGCTGCAGCTCGTGACAACCGAAAGGCGCTGGAACGGGAGCAGGGTGGTCTTCAGTGATAAGGACTTTGAAAGGTTTTTGTCAGTGTGTGACCGTGGTTGTTTTGCTTTCGCTGTTGTAGTTGTTTTGTTAATGCTCTGTCAAATAGCTATAGGTGTATTTATATTAGTATGATTTTGTGTTGAACGTGAATCCATAATTTATTAAAGTGTGTGTGTATATAGGGGTATATAGACTATGCTATTTTGTATATGTTTCCTACACCATTTCTGAATAAACGTTATTTACAAGCAAATGATTGTTATGTTACAAATTTGTAATAAAATGTTTAA